GAGCAGTTGGACATCTTTAAACTTCCTGGCCAGTTTGCTAATAGACAGAGAAACACATCATCAATACTAATACTTTACAAAAAGGAATCCTTTTGAACATGTGGAAAACGTCCTTATTCAAAATTCAAATGCAGAGTCCTCTTTTGTCAACTCCAGAGTCCTGCGCAAGAGGCCTTCTTCAATCTCCCGACAACCAGCCACGAGTTTTTTGCCATCTGCCCCGAAAGGCTTGAGTTCCTTCTCAGAGGCCGGCAGTTTCAGAATTGAGAAGCCCTTTACTTCTGAGTAGTCAGCAAGAGATGCATAGGTAGCTTGGGATTTCTTTCTCTTCTTACGTGGCTGAAAGCCAAGGCGCTCTTCCATGGTCATAGAAGCACTGATGGCGGTCAGGGAAGGACTTCCTCCGCTCAGGTACTCCAGCACTTGGGATTTGTGGAAGAAGAAACCCTCCTCTTGATTCGGCGGCTGGAAGATTCTCATCAAACCACTTGGTAGCGCACGCATTCCGAGCCGCCAATCATCCGGCAGCCAACCCTCGTCGGGCCAGTTGGGGACCGCATCATGATCCGTGACATATCTGATTCTTTTCTCCTCTTCCTCTTTGTTTTCTTTGTTCTTTCGGGGAGGTTCAGCTGCTCCCAGCTCATAGCCTTCTTTCTCTATGTCCTTCCGGTGCCAAAAGCGCCAGTGATCGGGAGTAAAATAGCACTTCAAAGTCTTTCCAGTCGCCGACGTTCGAATGCCTTGCTTCCATCCCTCTGGAAGCCAATAGACCCACTGTCCTGGATCGATTACGGTGTCCTTTGGCCATTCTGCAGGGGTCTCTAAATGTGCATGAGGTTGGGCTCGTCGACCCTTCAACTTGATGGCAGGGTTGTTGTTGTATGCCTCAATCTCCTGCTTGGTGTAGAATTTGCCGAAGAGAGGTCTCCCTGCCTTCTCCCAACGAGCCTTGCGCGCAGCATCGTCACCCATGGCGAGACTGAGATGCACTAAGTGATTCTTGCTCTCTCAAAGATGGGAAAGGTCAAAGCAGCAGTTCTCCTATCCCAAAGCTGGTCTAATCATACACCTCAAGGTGTTGAATTCCCTATATACAGGAAGTGAACACGACCTGTATGATTTGCTTTCCAAACTACCTTCAGCTATGATAAAGGGTTGCTACGGAAGAATTGACGAACTCCTCAATATTGAAGCCCGTGATCTGCCAAGGAAAAGCCTCATTCAACACTTGCGGCCACCATCCGGTCATGTGGAAAACGTGTACGCCACGCGACATCTTCCAATGAAAGGGACCGTATAGAAGCCAGCGATTTTCATCAAAACCTTCTGTTGAGTGGAGGTCATTCTGGGCACGGCACCTCGCCGCGCGGGATCTCCGCTGAGTCGAGCTCGCTGCGGCCGAGTGTCCGCTTCCGGGCTGAGCAGTCCGCAGCAAAGGTGTTCGAACCAAAGAGTCACTTCCAAGTCGGAGTATCCTGGTGGACTTCGTAGGTAGGCGGTCGGAGGTCTCAAAAGCACAGAAACACCGATTTGGGTTGAGGTCTCAACATGGGGTTCTCCGGGCTGGGTAGAAAATGCATTTGGATGCATTTGGTTGTTGTCTTCTGAAAGCAACCTCTTCTTGTTAGAAGCGTCTTGAACAGTATATGCCGAGCTTGATCCCCTGGTTTGAGGTCACAAAAAGCCAAAAAGCCCAGTTTTCCAGGTCACTTACTGTAGGAAAAGAAGCTAGTATAGCTCATAGGTTTGCATGTCCTTCCTTTCAAACCCCCAATGGCCTCAACAATGAGCTCCACCAGCACAGCGCCCCGCCCCTGTTGAACCTGTTTTTGTGGGGCCTCTCTCAGGCTAGAGGATGAAGTTCACCAGTCTTCCAGTGGATGGTGAACAAAGAGATCAAGATCATCATATCCAAAATGGCTCAAAATGATGCTCACTTGTTGTGCAATGAATCCAATTCGGTCCAATTGAGTCTACAGACCCCGGATGAAGCCAGACACCGGGCGTGTCACTTCATCGCGGTCTCCAGGCTCACGCACCCACCGTCTCGGCCCAGGCACGCAGCAGCCAGAATCGCAAGCGATCTCTCAACGGCGCCAGCTGTGGATCACTTCCCAGGTCGATATCATTGGCATCGGAGAACGACTTGTTGATGGCCATGGCCTGGCATCGGCTTCGTCGTTTTGAAGGCCGTTGTCCGGGACCCGCCGCTGGCTTCGAGGGCTCAGTGGTGGTTCGGGACGATCGGAAAAAGAGATCGCCGTAGAGTTTGGGGCCACAGAGCAATTCCCCTCTGCACTCTTGCTGACAAAACACGGAAGCTGCACGTGTTCCTACCAAACGAAGCAGTCTGAAACAAGCCGAGCTTCCACAAACTCCTCATCCTTCGCCTTCAGCTTCAGCAGCTCTTCTCGCAGTCGGGCCATTTGGTCCCTAGCCTTCAACGAACGGGCGCACCACTCGCTCGGTTGGGGCGCACGCTTTTTCTCGCGGGTGATCGCAGCTCGCTCGCACTGGCAGGTCACTTCGAGGAAGGCAGGTCAAAGCGAGTTGGACCATTTTCTGGTCACTCTGGTTCTGGTACCAGCGCCTTCTCATTCGAAACCCGCGAGTCATGGGGGCCGATCCGGAATGATTACTGCATCGGTCAGTTCTCCTGGTCTTCAAACAGTGTTCAACCCTGGAGTCATGAACTGACTCTCATATCTGTTTTTTCCCTAGGGCTCCCCACTACTGCTCTACCCTTCAAAAACATCAATGCGTGGTGTTCCTGCGTCACCCGTGCAACCAGCGAAAACGAACCAGGCTACGAGGCTACGAACCGTCTGTGCTCACGTCTGACACCACAAAACCAAAGAAAACCAGGACCCAAAAAGGACCTCCAGGTTCCAAGCATCTCATGGCTTCCGACCAGGAACCGCCGCCAACCCACCGCCCCTATCATCCGGGTGCCCTACCACCGCTCTCTCTCTCTCTCTCCGCCGCACCTGGCCGAGCGCCGCCTGATCGCCATTGGCAATCGCCTCGGGGTGCGAAGCGGCGTTGGAGTGAGGCTCCCGTGGCCCTTGGGTCCCTGTTTGGGAAGAACTGGAGACCCCCAACTCAGCGCAAAAGCTAGGCGACCTATGAAACCCATGCTAGAACGACAGTGCCGTCCGAAAAAAGGGATTGTGCAACTCAGAGTTAACTTGCAAGTGGTCGTTTTGCTTTGGGCACCCCTCAACTGCCTTAACTCAATCGTGAACTTTCCTTTCTATAATATAGTTGAGCCGAGCCCCTAAATATTCCTTCTTGTAAAACAACATCCGCGGTTCCCTGGTCATTTGTATGGCAACCCACTTCCAGATTCCAACCCCCATGAATCTCAAACATCGCAGCTATCCTATGCTATCCTAGCTATCACTTCATATCACGTCCAGCCAGAGGTGACCCTAATACTATCTCCTAACCAATTGATCCTTCCCAAAAATAATACTCCCCGATCGCCTTCACCGACTCCGATTGCAAAGAGATCAGCGCTGGCTTCTGCCGGGCATTGCGCATGCGAGCGCAGATTTGGACTTCGCGGTCCAAGCGTGAGAGCATGCTGATGGCCTCGGGGCGGCGGCGTCTTCAGCCCAGCGCTGGCTCTGCAGAGCATGCTCGCAGACGCGCACACGAAGAGGCGAAGAAGCATGTAAAGGCACGTACTGCCTATAAGATAGTAGAAGGCCAGACACGAAACAACAATCGATCAAAAAAACACGCAAAGTTTGTGGTGTGTGACATGTTTCTTTCTCCAACTGTTGCAGTCCAAAAAAAAAAAAGGGAATGACCCAATTGATACTCGTCTGAGTCTGAGCCTACCACGCCCCCACCCACCTGACCCCCCACCCCCCTTCCACCCACCCAGCGGCCACCCGGTGCTTCGCCGTGGGATGCTTCGAGAGGTCGAATGGCATCTCCCTCGGCTCTTCGAGACGTGACGTGACGACCCGCGGTGACCCGCACCACCATGGTCAGCTGAGAAGCGAAAGGACAATGACCGTATGATACTGTCCTGCGAAACCCCACCTTCGAAACCATCTGGATGTTTTCCCCAGCCATTTCCGTCTGTAAAGGAGTTCAATGGCCGGAACCACCAGGGGTTTCCAGGCAGGTGTCATCTGTCTGTGTGTTCCAACGACGGGGGGGCCGCGAAGTCGGATGCGCCAGTCACTTTCGGTGAGGACGATTTCGCGTGGATTGGAGGGGGATTTGGGGGGTTGAACACAGTGAATTGGGGGCTGAAACGCATAGATGACGTGCAAAAAGAGTCTTCGATATTGTCTTCCACAAATGACACTTGGAGGTAGTTTGTCATAGGGTTTGGTAAATATGCCGTAAATATATATATATATATGCATCTTACTATGGACCCAGGCACACCTTAGGCACACCCAACAAAAAATGATGAAAACATGGTGACTCTCCGAACGATTCGGCAGGAAAGCATCCAGGGCCTTGGAGCCTTTAGCAGACCTGACCAATGACCTCAACCAGTGGCACTTTGGATTTCCAACACTCTTCCACGAACTTCATCCTGAGCCATGCCCCATGGCATCCTAGAAGTCCTCAATCCATCACGAAGCACTCGTCACAGTGCGGCCCCAGCTGCTCGGGGAGAAGACTACTGGGCGGTGTGTCAATGAGATGTTCACGAGCGAGGTGGCCTGCAGGAGGTCTTTAGGATCGACGTGACGTTGGTGCGCATCGCTTCGAACACGTTGGTGTCGCAGATGTCTGGCTCACAGGAGTTGGAGTTGCGAAAGAAAAAACGTGGTCCTTTAGATGGCTTCAGGCTACAGCTTCAAAGCTGCAAGGACTCGACTGAGTGCCACCATGTGGGTGTGTTTTCGAATAGGGAGACCCTCAACCCATTAGTGTTGGCCTTGTTTTTTCTTCCAGCTGGTCGAAGAGGGTCGTTGCCTGGGAGGTCTCCCAATGTGACTTTAAACCAGGACCCCCGTGAGACCCGGGGCTTCTATCAATAGCCCAGAGGTTTTTCAGGGTGTCCATGAACCACCCAACTCCAGTGGGTCCTGGAATACCATGTCTCCCTTGGCATTCAAGGCCTCACCTTTTCAACCCTCTGATGTCGTGGAACCACCGGACAAAGCCACGCCCCACCAGGCTGGTCCAAGGCCGGTCTTCTTCCCGGATGGAGACCGTCCTCCTTAGGGTTTAGGGTTGAGGGTTTAGGTTTAGGGTTTAGCCTCCATCTGACGTAGTCTTTTTGGGGGGCGCTTCCAGTTGTAACCGGCCAGCGGCTCTTCAGCCGCTCGTCCCGCTGCGGAAGGGTTGTCAAACTGAAAAGCCCTGAAACGCTGGTGGGTCATGTCTCATCCACCATCCAATCACCATCCAGCCCAATGATGTTCCTCTACCCAAAAAAATCCTTCCAACCCCACCCGACCCTCATGGGGCCAAGGCACGCATGGGCATCGTGGCCAGGGCCGCCACCTCTTCGCTCGGCATGTCCACCTTGTACGGACCCGCCGGAGGACCGTGAGCTCGGCAACCGTGGCTTGTATCCATATGGTTAAGATCAGAAAAACCGGAAGTGGAGCAAATTTGGTGGTTTGGGCCCCAAACAACCCATTTTTGCTTGGATGGTGATCAACTTGTGCCCGGCTTCTTTGGTGGACACGAGGTGACCGACAGGTGAGTCATCCGCACAAAAAACCGCACAAAGGTGAACCACAAGTTAATCAAAACATGAAAAGACATACAGACACAATTGCTCAGTAATGACTCTTGATTCATAAACCCCCTCATAGAAGATGTGATTGAATTTCAATCGGGGAGCTCAAAGGGTCACTTTGAAGAACCAGGAAACAAAGGATCCATCAACTTTGAAACCCACTGGCCGCTCATACCCATTGCCTATACCCGTTAATTAAAACAAAGCGGCTGGCTACCTGCCCACCATCCACTCCCCGCCATTGGCCAAGTGACCGTCCCTTCCAAGAACCGCTGTGTACAAGTCAATCCCTTGAGGCTTGGACAGCCCAGAAGGCAGGCACCTGCCGAGGCTTCAGACGAACTGAGTCTGAAGCCGCGTGGTTCCAGCCGCCACAAGAAGGCTTGTTGCAGCGAACAGAAGCACGACGCCTTGGGTTGCTATGCTTTTGCTTCAACGGTTGGTGAATTCCAAGCGAGCTCCAGACCGCGGTGTTGGGGGTTCACGAGTCCACGCTCCCCAGCGTGGGCGGCGGCGGCGTGCCTTCCGCTGGGAGCTCCGGAGCAAAGAGCAAGCGAGCGCACAGGCCGCCTGGCGCGTCACTGGTGGAAGGTCCACAGGTAGAGCCGAAATAAATATACCAGGAGATAAAAGAACACTTCTATAGGGGGGTTGAGCCACCTCAAAAGGGATGGGTCTACAGATGTCTACAGTGCATATTCTTTTGTGCAGTCCCACTTTCAAGACCAAATCCAACATGTTGAAAACTCCTACCTGGAAACCTCAACAGCCCAAAACCACATTTTGGTTGTTCCAAGTCCATATGCTTGGCGCCAGCTTGAGATCCTTTACACAGGAAGTGACTGGGACTGTGATGGACTCAGGATGGACTACATGTGCTTCTGGTTGTAAAGAACGGACCATCCGGGGTGGCTCGCCGAATGCTTGGGGTGGGGTGCAGAGCCCACCCCACGCTCCAAGAGAAGACCAGGTCGTGGTGAGAGACCATTCATCCGAACCCTTGTGGTCTCTGGAAGAGCCACAATGCAAACAAACAGACAATGTAACAATCCCCCGATGCAGTGTTGAGTCAGACTATGTCACAGTCCTTCTCTTCCAAATTGTTAAAAGAAAGATCTGCTCCACCTCTTTCTGGACTCCAAGACCCTCCCCCATGAAGATCCGCCTTTCAGGACTTTCCATGGGGGTTCTGGGCCTCCTTCGGCCTCCTGAAGGCCTCCTTCGGCCAGCCTTGTTGACTTTCACAGCGCTGGAACCAGGCACTCTCCACCGCCGATTGCATGGGTCGTGGCAGCTCCTGGTGGAGCTAGGTGAGCTTCGGAACGGCAAAGTGGGACGAGGATGTAAAGAACATCGAATGAACGGTAGGACCACCGGGTGGTTGATCCAACACTAACAGCTGTCGAACCAATCACAAGGACGTCCGACCGATCATCTTGATCTGATTCCGTCTGGTCATTGTTGAACATGTTCACAAACCCCTCCATCCCCAAAAAGGGGATTCCTCCCTACTACGTACTGGACTTGCTCATTCAGCGTCCTTCTTCGCAAACCAGGTTTCATCACCATAAATCACAGGTTTCATCCCACCCCCGAGTTTCGGATCCACGTGCCTTCAGCCGTCGCAGCGAGCTCGGACCCTCCGGCCCTTGTTCCATCGAACGGACTAAGTACCTCGCCTGGAAGGACTCTGGTGTGGGCGGCCAGGCGAGCTTCATGGCGTCCGCCGCCTGCACCACGAACTGGTGGATCTCCTCAGGACGGCGTCCGGAGTCCGAGCGGTGCCCGCAACGGAGTCCGAGCGGCTCGGTGGCGCCAAGGGCACGGAGAGAGGGAGAATGTGGCGCTCCGCAGGGAGTGGACACAGTACAGTGTCCTGTCGTAGACCCTGGGTGAGACACCAGAAGGTGGAACTGGGGAGCGAAGGTGAGGGGATCGAAGGGTCTTGGGATACAATGAGGAAGCTCCTCTTTCCAAAGTCAACTGGTCAGTCAATAACAAAATGATTGTTGAATCCAAAGAGAATGCAAGTCGGAAAAATGATGAGATTTCGAAACATCAAGCAAACTTAAAACATACCTGGACCCTCCTGTCGGGGTGTCCAATGGACTACCCCACACTACCTACAGTACAGGCTTCCAGACAGGGTCCTGGTATATTGTATCTCCGAGGATGCACCCTTTTTTCGGCCGTGCACCCAAAGCGGCCTCCGCGACGTCGATCGATGTCAAGCGGCCGTGAGCTTGGCCTTCCACTGGCCCACCAGTCCTCGGACGGAGGGACCACGTCGGTGGGTCGGGTTCACACGGAAGTGTCGAAGCACACCGCGTTCGAAGAAGAAGAAGAAGACGAAGAAGAAGAAACGCGGCAAAGCGCGCTGCTCTGAAAGCAGACCTTCGTGCCGAACAAAAAGAAGAAGCAACTCCCATTGGAACTCCGCGGTTTCGGTTCAAAGATACAAAGAGTGCGGTTCTTGGGAGGCCAGAATTTCTTGCCAGCCTTCGACATTGCAGCATCCCTCAAGATCACCGTCGGACCTTCATTCCGACCTTCATTGCAAAATTTGTCTCATGGCTTTGTATCCTGTCGGTGCTGTGCAGCATCGACACACATTCTTGGGTTGCATCCGTATGCATCCGTATTCATCCGTATTCTGAGTAGTAAATGCAAGCTTGTCTATGACCCCAAGTTGAAGTGTCAGCAAGCCCGCTCTGAACGCCCACTCTGAACGCGGCTTACGGAACGACATCGAATTTGATCGAATGACCAACCTCAAAGAGGCAGCGAATGGCCGTGTTTGGAATTGGCCTCGAGTTCATGGGCCTTGGCCTTGGTATGTTCTCAGTGTCGGTGTCGCAGGGACATGCACACATATATGACACATCGTCTTGGCTGTTCAAGAGCTGTGTGAAAACGCTTCCCTTTCTAAGGGATTTGACACATTGTTTGAGGCTTGGGCGGCCCGAGCAAGTTCCAGACACGCTGCTTCGGAATCCATTCAGGACATCAAACCCTTGTCTTGGAGGTGCCCCAAGAGCAAGCATTCAACCCACGGATATGAGGGTTTCACTGGGTCATAATAGTAATCCCTGAGAGTCAAAGACTATAGAAATAATGGTCTTTAGGGGGCCTCAAAAAAAAAAAACAACAACAACTTCCTTTGCTTCAGCCGGTCAAGATATGGTCTTTGGACTTCTAGGGGAATATACATCATCACACCAGAAGACCTTCATCCGAACGGTTCGAACTCACCAGCCCAACACCCGGGGGAACCCGGGGGTCTACCGGTGGCAGCAGATCCCGACACGATCAACACCGCCAGGTGTCGGACTTTCTTCGGCTTGGTCAACATCGGCATCGAGTCGCCTGGGGTGCTCGAGTCGCATCGGTCACGAACGAAGCTGAAGCCCAAAAATGCTGAAGTGAGACTTTGGTCGCCCAGTGTTGGTTTACCAGCGATGACCAGATTACGCGGCGAACGAGTCGATCGTTTTTTCTGGGATGCTGCCTCACGTGCTGGCCAAAACTCTCCAAACACGGAAGCGTCGCGGGCGGCGTGTGAAGGTGGTGAAGGAGAAAGCCGTGGAAAAAATCACCACGATTATCTTGGCCCAAAAAATTGCAAGTAAAAAAACGGGGAATGCTGGATGTAGACTCTTGGTTGTACAAAATGAACAAGCCTGAAGAGGTTTTACAGTACATGGTTTTACCATACGTGTCTGGGTATAATCCAGAATCTACCTGACTGAACTAGGCAACTTCTTCAAGCCACCAACTCCCCCCCAAAAGAAAAAAGATCTGAAAAAACCAACTTCCACGGACCATTTCCACCACCCTGGCGTCCGAGAACACACCGTCCGGACTGCTGCCCGACGACGTGGACAGTTCCAAGGCGCAGATGTTGGGATTCTGCGCCAAGATGTGGAGCAAGGAGGCGAGCACCCCATGGTGCCGGCTTCCAGGCATCAAGTGCAACAGCAGCGTGGTGTAGGTCTGCTGATGCCTCAAACAGCGAGGGTCAACGCTGAAGCTGGGGGCTCTACCCCAGCCGCGGGTTTTTGGGAGTCTTTCAACAAGAATGCTGGCAGGATGGATGATCTGTTCATTGCTACATCCTGTAAAAGTCCAGTCGACTGGGAGTCCAGTCAAGTCTAGATCCGGTGACGCGAGCAGCGTCCGTCTTCCACCGAACTTTGGTGCTGCGAAGGAGGACGACTGTCGTTCGCTGGATTCGACGATGGTGAAAATGCTTCCGCCCGTGAAGGGTCCGAGCTCGGCCTTTCAGCCTCCGCCGAGGCGTGAGGCGCCAGTCACCTGTACTAGTCTGGGCAAATGCTCATTCCAACGATTAGGGATGTGTGGCGGTTCCAGAAAGGACCACGAAAAAGAACGCAGAATTCGTCGAGTTTGTGTTGGACTTGACCTGCGAAGGGATGGATTCCTTCTTCAATCCCTCACATGGTGGACACACATCTCTCCACCTCGAAAAACAGCGGCGTTTTCGAAAAAAAAAAAAAAACATGGTGTCCCCCACCTTCCCGGACCTTCACCGTCGGAACGCGCTCCGGTCCTCGAATTTCGGAAGGCCCGGTCCTCGGTCCTCACCCGTCCAAGCTGCGCGGGGTTGGTCTCCTTGGCCCGGCTGAGGCGAGCGCCGGTGGACAAGGTGAAGAGCGAGTAGAGGAAGGCCCACGTCTTTGGTGCCTCGAAGCAGCCGGCCACGCAGGTGAGAGGGAATGTGGAGTGTCCGTAACTCGTGTGGAGGGGAGTGGTCCAGTGTGAAAGGGAGTGGATGGGAGAAGAGGGGGGGGGAAGTGGGAGGTGTGGGGGGGGGGGGCTAGAGTGTGTTTGAAGGGTGTAGCTTTTACAAGCCATTCAAGGTTTGGAGGGTGAAGCAAGAGAGTGTGTGATAGGGTGATGTGAAGAGATGTCTTTGAAATATTAAAATCCATTGAAATTCATACCCCTTACTCTGCCATGGGGCATCCGGACACCCATTTCATAAAAGAATTGTGTCTATAAAATGGATGTCCGCAAAGAGAGTTTATATATAATGATGGCCGTATGTGTCTCCAAGATTGCTATATAATGATGGTGCTTCTGAGGTATCAAAAAGGATCAAAGAACTCTGGAGAAGTGGCATGCTTCTAAAATGATAGGCTCCAGGATCAATAAGCACCAGTATAGCTTTTCCTGAAACCTTTATGAAATGACAAATCCACAAGCAAACCTGGGCGACCCCATCACTCCATCTTTGGGCTACTACTTCTTAGGACTCTGGGGTGTAGAAGTCAAAAAGTGTGTTTTTGATTGGTTTCCAGTTCAAAGATACCTGAACCATTTGGGTCCCCAGGTTGCTGACCTAGATCCCCTGTTGAACAGGGGATACCATTTATAAAATGATATCTCCAAACAATTTCTGCATATTTTGCAACATTTGGGAACTACCAGGTCATTTTATAAATATGTGTTCAATTCAGCTGGGTTTTCTTTCCCCAGGAGCCTGAGAGGAACTGGAAACCCAGTCAAAACCACACCTTTTGACTTCTACACCCCAGAGTCCTCAGAAGTAGATAGAAGTAATAGCCCAAAGATACCTGAACCGTTTGGGCCCGCTGGGTTGCTGACCTAGATCCTCTGTTGAACAGGTGGTGCCATTTATAAAATGATAGCTCCAAGCAATTTCTGCATATTTTGCAAGTTTTGGAAACCACCAGCTCATTTTATAAATATGTGTCCATTTCAGCTGGGTTTTCTTCCCCCAGGAGCCTGAGAGGAACTGGAAACCCAATCAAAGCCACACTTTTTGACGTCTACACCTCAGAGTCCTAAGAAGTAGTGGCCCAAAGATACCTGAACCATTTGGGTCCCCAGGGTTGCTGACCTAGAGCCCCTGTTGAAAAGGGGATACCTGTTTATAAAATGATAGCTCCAAACAATTGCTGCATATTTTGCAAGTTTTGGAAACCACCAGCTCATTTTATAAATATGTGTCCATTTCAGCTGGGTTTTCTTCCCCCAGGAGCCTGAGAGGAACTGGAAACCCAATCAAAGCCAATCATTTTATAAATGGCACCACCTGTTCAACAGAGGATCTAGGCCAGCAACCCTGGGGGCCCAAACGGTTCAGGTATCTTTGGGCTACTACTTCTTAGGACTCTGGGGTGTAGAAGTCAACAAGTGTGGTTTTGATTGGATTTCCAGTTCCTCTCAGGCTCCTGGGGGAAGAAAACCCAGCTGAAATGGACACATATTTATAAAATGAGCGGGTGGTTTCCAAAACTTGCAAAATATGCAGAAATTGTTTGGAGCTATCATTTTATAAACAGGTATCCCCTGTTCAACAGGGGATCTAGGTCAGCAACCCTGGGGGCCCAAATGGTTCAGGTATCTTTGGGATACTACTTCTTAGGACTCTGGGGTGTAGAAGTCAAAAAGTGTGGTTTTGATTGGGTTTCCAGTTCCTCTCAGGCTCCTGGGGGAAGAAAACCCAGCTGAATTGAACACATATTTATAAAATGATCTGGTAGTTTCAAAATTGGCAAAACATGCAGAAATTGTTTGGAGATATCATTTTATAAATGATATCCCCTGTTCAACAGGGGATCTAGGTCAGCAACCCTGGGGACCCAAATGGTTCAGGTATCTTTGGGCTACTACTTCTTAGGACTCTGGGGTGTAGAAGTCAAAAGGTGGTGTTTTGACTGTGTTTCCAGTTCCTCTCAGGCTCCTGGGGGAAGAAAACCCAGCTGAATTGAACACATATTTATAGAATGATCTGGTAGTTTCAAAAATTGCAAAATATGCAGAAATTGTTTGGAGATATCATTTTATAAATGGCACCCCCTGTTCAACAGGGGATCTAGGTCAGCAACCCTGGGGGCCCAAATGGTTCAGGCATCTTTGGGCTGCTGCTTCTTAGGACTCTGGGGTGTAGAAGTCAAAAGG